GCCAGTCCGGTTTTGAAAACACAGTTTTAAACGCTCGTATCATACGCATGATTTCATTCCTCACATTTTAAATTAGTCTTCAGAACATGGGGCGAGTAAATTCAAAGAATGAAGCAAGCCTAAGATAACATCAAGGATAATAGATTGGGCTGATTGGCCTGGACTGTGAATATTCTTAAGATATTGGAAATTCTTTTGACCTGGTGACCAGCTATAACTCTTGACTTATATGTTTTCTTATTTTTAGTTTATTTGATGTGTGAACCGTTAATTCACCGGAAATTGAGATCTGAAGGTTTCTGAGGAACGGTTTCAAACGTCAAGGGAGAGAGAATCTTCTGGAATTTACTTTTTATTATATCAAAGAAGACTTAATTGTGTATTACATTACAATAAGACTTTCCTAAGCACTATTTATATACATAACAAGAGCTGACTAAATTGACTATTCTAATCTTGTAAGCATATTTACACATAGGGCCCTTAACTATCTAGTATGTACAAGATCTACCAACTACACTATTCAACAGCTAAAACTAGAAGTATTGTATCTCCTTATTTACAATTGGATAGGGTTTTTCTTCTTGTTTCACTCTCTTTCCCATCACACCCGCCTTAAGATAAGCTGTGGTAGAAAGCCATAGACTCATCTTTCCAAGTAAATAATGAGAAGTAGTAGCTGGGAGGGGATTGGTAAACAAGACATAACTAGATTGAGAGTTGTAATCGGCATAAGCATTCAAAATCCATGCACCAACTAGATTTGCATTTTTCTGATGATCATCGCTCTTTTGGCACCAACTCTAACCATGACACTCAATATGCTGCTCTGATTGTTGATCGATGATATACATAACCCTAGAGGAAGGTTGTGCCGATGCAAGCTGTTGGAAAATCTGTCCACCAAGTGATGATGGGTTATATTGTATATGGGGTTGTGTGGATAGAGGTTGTTGAGATATTTGCCCACCAAGTGGTGATGAGCTATATTGGAGGGGATGTGTATATAAGGCTAGAATTTTCAGGCGACTAACTACATGGAACAAGGGTATAGACCGGACCTCCAGAAGTGTCAAAGGCACAATATTGGGTGTTTAGATACGTCATGACAAGAGAAAAGGGAAAGACTCTTTTTTGGGTTTTTTAGGGTTTCTTATGACACAGAAAATCTCGTGGTATAATGACAGACTTCCACGATTTACAAATCAAATTAAAGCTAATCCCACCAGGCGTGCCAAATTATGTTTGTGTGAAAATTGTGCATCCAAAACCGTGGGAAAAAGGGGAGCAATAATCACCCAAAACACAATTAAATCAGACGATTGTGGTTGAGTTCGAACCAGCCTCGGACAAGGATCGAGGAATTAGGGTTATTGGCTTCAGTTTGAGAAAGACAGGTAAAGACATAGAGAAAGTGGGGAAAAGCCAAAGAGACGGCATTTGACTCGTAAAGTGGAAAATCCTAGCGCCAGCAAGCTATAGATGGTGGCGATGACATGCTATTGCATAGAAGACAAAGATATTACCCCGACTAGACCTTGTTGATGACACGCTATTACAGAGAAGACAATGATAGGATAGACATGCAGGGGATAGTCCAACACACATAAGTTTTAGAACACCTATTACAGAATAACCGAATTCGTTGGAGTAGAAAACGGTGAACACCTACCCAATTCTATATAGGAGAAAAAGGCAAACAACTCTATTACTAAGCTAGAGGCTAAGCAAGCAGGATAGAACGTGATGAGCTACCATAGGGAAAGTAAAAAGATGATAAATGGTAAAAGAAATAATAAAGGACAAAGAAAACCAGTTGTGTAGTTGATCGGTGATGATTTTCTCTTCATGGCTGCTTCTATTTATAGTGCTTGGACGAAACCCTTGCTACCTTATGATTCCTTGGAAAAAAGGTAGCTTAACATGGTCAATTTCCTTGAAAATAATATACTATTCCCGCAGCAGTCTCCCAATCGGTTGATGACTCTTCTCACAATCAGCTATTAATTCGGTAATAGAATCTTTTTTCCAAATATATCTCTTTAATTATTGGTAATTTTTCTTATAAAAGGAGCAAGAAATAAGGAGGAATCTTCCTTAATTGCCAATTAATCATGCAGCCGATCTGGAACAATTCTATTCCCACTTAGCTTCTACTTTTCTTCTCCAACTCTGAAACTGTTCACACTCAACCAGCCCATATTGATCCTGAACGTATTTTGACCACTTTTGAGATATTTTGGGGCCTTAAAATCTCAGTCATAATCACATAAATTCACCAAAACTCATGGGCTATCACCAACATCACATGTCGGCCCAAATATCCAAAAACTGGCCTAACAAAACCTCGCACAATGTGGTTTAGAGAACGGTTCTCTGAATGTTATATACAAACTATTGGCAGAGCTTTTGGTTCATAAGCCTGGCGTAGGATTCCTGCATTTCTTAGCCTTCCTGCTTCACCATTTGTAATCAACTTCCTCATCCCAGAGCAATCAATCAGTCATATCTTCTGTATTGAGCATCCAATTCTATATTATTGTTATAATGATATATTATTTTTTTGAATTATGTATTTTTAAAAAAAAATTATTGGAGTTGTTGTTTACATATACAATTAGAATTGTTGTTAAATAATATATTACCTCCATCCCACAAAAATAGTCCACATTGAGTTTTTAAATTTATACTAACAGCAGTACAAAAATTAAAACTTAATGTGGACTATTTTTGTGGAACGGAGGAAGTATTACTTTATAGAGCAATTCTATATAACTAAAATGATCGAAAAAAGAGCATCTGCTGCTAAATCTCGCAGGATAAACATGTTTCTCATTATTATTGAATTCTATGAATTGATTGATATTTAACGGCTATACTGTGGAATTGGAACCTCTGATTATTCAAGTAGAAGAGGAAAACGCAAGGTAATATCAGGAAACATGTACAGGATGTTAATTCCAGGGAAAGATGGAACTTTCGGGCCATCCACATGTTCTCTTTTTTTTTTTTTTTCTTTGCGTGATGTTTTGCACGGTAATAGGTTGTTTTACATATAGAAAAGGATAGATTATGCTTCCGCATGCATGGAAGTAGAACGCTGCTTAATAACATATCAATTTGTTAATAACAGGTTGGTCATGAGTAGTGTTTTTTTTTAATAACATATCAATTTGTTAAGTAAGGTGTCTCGGGCTTTTACGCGGGCAAGCATCTAGTTGACAAGATAGACCATTTCATTTGCTCTGATATAATTTGTGCAAGTTCTCGTACAAATGCCAAGAAAAGTAAGATGGTGGGGAAAAAAAAAACTAAGGGTCCGTTGGTATATTGATGGGTTTTACTATGGGCTTTGGTATGATAACAGGAAGGGTTTATTATAGGTATACCCATTCCAAAATAGTTGTTTGGTTTATAAAGGTTTAGGTATCATTTTATGTTTTTATATTTATTTTATTTTTTAATTAATGGTACACCGATTTAAAGACAAAATTAAAAAATAATAATTATTTATACTAATTAATCATTTTGAATAATCTCGTTTATAATATTAAAAAAATAATTAGTTTGAATGAGTCCTAATAGTTATTATTTTAATATAAAATCTAATACAATAAACAAATTCTGTGATTCAATCTCAATATAAATCATAAAGTTATAAGTAAACATCATTCAATGATGGTAGTGGTAATTTAAGTATGACTAAAAAAATTCAAATAAAACTTTTTTATAAGATGCCCAGGTTCAGACTCAAAAATTATAAATGGGATATATATATATATGTATATATGTATATATATATATATATAAAATACCAATGCGGTACTTTCTTCTTCCATAAAACTTGAATTTTATAATGAAGAAAAGTTTTTTAAAAAAACTTGAATGATATAATGAATAAAAAATATTTTTTAAAAAAATTAACTTATATAAATTAAGAAAAATTATTTTTATATTATAATATAATAAAAGATTTTTATACAACATAAATTGTCATGAAAAAATAATGAGTTGAAGAGGAAAAAAAAATTACATAATCGGGAATCAGATTAAAACCCACCCTCCTAGTGGGTTTAGAGGATTCCTAAATAATGAGGAATAATTCCATTCCCGCCTATTTAAAACCCGTCAACCAAACACTAATAATAAGAATCATTCCATTCCTTCATTCCAATACCCATCAACCAAACACCCCCTAAATTCAAGTATAACATATGACTTGATCGTAATTTGGTCCAAAACCAACCAGCAGCAACATTGAATATAACATTTCCAATTTCTTTTATATTCGGTTAACGAATTTCGAATTGAAGAAAATGGATTCATACCACAGTATACATGAATCTTCTAAACGAGCCAAAGAAAAAATATTTATTGAATTTTAAGAAAATATTTAAGATTAATTGAGTTAAAAAATTCCTTTTTTATTTTTTATTTTTTTAAAATGAGTTTTGAGAACTTCAATATTGAAGGTTTGAATCTTTAAGTAGTGTTATAAGCATTGTTTGGAAAGTAAGGGTTGAAAATGATTTCTAAACCCAACTCATATATATCAAATTAATATCAGTTTTGGAATAATTCTACAGAAATCAAACTCTATGTAATCGCCATTCATATAGTAAACTCATACCAAACCAAACGCTTCCGGAGGCTACATTTGAATAATTTTTGTATTTTATTTTTTTTTAAATTTTAATTGTACTTTAGCTTCTTAATATATTTCAAAAAAAAAAAATGATACGCTAGAAAGACTTTTTATTTTTTAAACGTATACTGATATTCAAATACACTGTAATAAATAATAAGTACTTGGGCCTCTAACTTTGGGCTTAAATAATGAAGATATTTTTGGGTTTAGAGGACTGGCCCCGTAAACTTAGAAACTATCTCAAACCATTTATCTGATCTGATTCAAAAGCCGATACTTTCTTTAATAATCAACCTATAAAAAGCGAGGCGTGTTGCTGGAGCCTCTGTAATTTCGCGCGAGGAAGTTTTCTGGACAGTTGGTTTGCGAAGAAGGTAAACAAAATCTCCGATTGCGTTTAAGATTTCCGTTCCTCAATCAAGTTATCGCTCTGTTTGGATAGGCTTTAGAATTCCAGATATATGTATATTGTTGCTGTTAGCCGAGGTGGTTATTGATAGCGATCTGAAGAACAAACAATTAGGGCAGTGACCGATTGAATTGACCTTTTTCCTTGTAATTTCACTTTTGTTTTTTTGTTTTTTTGTTTTTTTTTGCTCCAATTGAAGGCGAAAATCATGACTGGAGTCGGAGAACCTAGTGGCCTTTACAATTTTCGGGATTTACGGACCGATCGTAACGATAATGTACGTTTCTTTCCCCACTTTTATTTTACCATTTAATAAAGGTTTTTCTCTTCACATTTTTGCGTTTTGCGTTCTTGTTTTATTGATTCATTCTTTCTTTTTTTTTCCTTTGTTGGTGGTGGTAATTTTAGTTTGATGATAAGGAACACAAGGGAACCGCAAATTTTGTTGCGCTGCCGGAGCCTGAAGTTTTGCTCAAAAATACTTCTCAAATCTTGGCTAATCAGGTGAGAAAAAAACATTCTCGGATTAGAGCTTGTTTTGCTGTTTGGTTTCTCGGTTTATTTCATTGGAACTTTATGTTTATTTTACAGATTTTGTTTGTGACTCGGTCCATGCCAATTTTTTTAAATTTTGTTTGTTCTCTTCTGATGTTTTGTGTGTTTTCCTTGGATCCTTGAAGTTGAGAGTTGGGGGATACCATGCCCCTCCCAAGGCCCATCCTATCTACCAGAGACTGGTGTGTTTTCATTTCAGTTGTTTTTTGTTTGATTTATTTTTTTTCATGTATTTTTATTTATTAGCTTCTTGTGTGATGTTTTGCAGGATACACTACCTAAGAGAAGCGCGGGAACCACTGTTTCAGCTTTTATTTTCGAAGGGGGAGTAATTGTGGCAGCTGATCATCATCGTATATGTGAGTTGGTTTTCTATTTTTACATGATGTTAACACATTTTCTGCTCTGATCTGAATTACTCAAGGGTTTTCTGCTCTGATTCGAATTACTCAAGGGTGTTTCTAACTTCCCCTATTACACTTCAGTATGTCATGGTTCGGTCCCGAACATTGTTGGACTCAATTCGCACATGCTTGCCACTATTTCTGGAGGGAGTGAGTATTTGCTCCAAGAACTGCATCAGAAGGTACACTGGAAACATTATGAGCACTATGTTTTATTATTCAATAGTTTATCTGGAATCTAAGAAATATTGGTCTTCAGTTAATGTCAACTTTGGATATGTGTTCTTATGCTTGTGTTGTCATTGTATGTATGGCTAGTGCGTCCTACATGAACTTGCAAAGGGGAGAAGAACTTCTGTTGCAGATGCATCGAAGTGGTTGGCTGATACCCTGTCTTCTCGTAGAGAGGAGGATGTGTCACTAGGAGTACTGATTGCCGGTTGGGAGGAAACGGTAATTGGTTCTCTTTCTTTACATAGTCATTTCTGTTGGTCTTAAACCACAAGGACTTTGCTTCAGCCCCTGCTTACTTTTATTATGAGTAATCATTGCTCATGTTTTCTTGCAGGGTCCGGTCCTGTATCATGTTGACAATGAGGGGAAAGTGCAGGATTGTAAGGAGATACGGGATTGTGTTGGAAAGGTGTGTAAATGTGCGGTAATTGCCACTGGATCAGCTGCCGGTTCTGCTCAGAGTTCTGTAACTCTGAAGTACGTTCCCTATTCTTATGATTATTTTTAGTCACCCTGAATTGTAAAAAGTGAACATGTGGTTATTGAGTGCGTTGATTTTAATATGTAGGAATTGGTATTTTGTTTGCTTGATGCATTCCCAAATACTATTTAATTTTCTTTAATTTGTGTTTTGTATTTTATTTTCCTATTGATGCATTTGAAACTTTGCGTGATTGTCACTCATATATCATTGTATATTTTTAAGAAACTTATGGGTTGTTGTGTAGGGCACGTTACGGTATGTCTGTAGATGAAGCTGTGTTTGTGGGAAAACATTCGGTTTGTGCTGCTGCATGGGCTTTGTCACGACATATCCTAGAGGACGGTGGCGATGTGGGTGCTGAATATGGCGATGTGGTCAGTGGTATGTTTGTGATTACTGGTTCCAGCCTCTTGTTTGTTTCTTTCTTACATGCAGCAAGCTTATCTGATTCTTGTTTTATTTTTTGATGAGTGTACTTTTTTTCCTTTTTTTTTGGGTGGTTGTAAGTTTACCACATTGGGAGTACTGGGTGGAAGGAGTGTATATCCGCTCATGATGTGGAGGACCATCAAAAGAAGCACATTACAACACACCCAGAGTACAAAATGGGAAGAGTCTGAAGATGAGCCGGAAGAAGAGTTTGGTGCAAAAGACAACATCAGAACACAACCAGATTTCCAATGGGAAGATGAGTGGGAAGATATTTTGGAAGATGATTCGGAAGTGGAGTCCGAAGACGAGTGGTAAGAGTGATGTTGTGTATGGAAATGATAGCATGATCTCATTCTGAGTTGAATAGGAGGTTGAAGGCACATTTAACAAGTCATCTGCTACAAGATTTTTTTTTTTTATTTATAATTATCTGTGGTGAACTTGAAGTTGGTACTAATTTGGGGGAAGATTCTCTCAGGGCCTGCACTAATCCAAGTTCTTAGTTCTACAACATAGCCGTTGAGATAATGACAAATCCACTTGATTTACAAACTAACAATTCTGGAACGAATCTTCGATGCTTGTAATGATTGAGACATAGTTTCGCTTATAATTTATTCTTATATGTATGATTTTTCTTGCTGAAATTCTCTATAAATTTTTTATGCACAAATTATTATCTTTTTAATATTTGTTATTTGAGATTTATATGCATGTAAGGTTAGAGCATAAATTAAAGAAGGGATTCCCCGACTATATTTCAAAGAGTCTCTTTCACAGTCATAAGTTTTGAAGTCAATGGTCTGACTAAAAAAGTCAAATGGTTATGACTATATTTTAAATAAAAAATTCATAAATTGAATGTTTAATTCTACTTCAAATTTGCTTATAATTTTCGAAGTATAAAGACAAAAAGTATTCCAAATTATATTTATATTCCCTAATACTGAGTAATTATATTATCGTTTTCAGTGTTTTTAACTAAAATAATTAGCTCATATATTCATAAAATAGATATTATAAAATTCACAAATATAAATTAGAGATTTATAACACTCTTGAGTTTTCATTATCAGTTACACAAATATAAATATTTATTATTGAATAAAAGAGTTTTAGTAGAAGTTGTAGAATTTCCAAATATGTGGGTTAAAACAAAACCGATAAATAACATAATTATTATTAAATTTATCAAAAGAATTATAGGTTTTCTTTTTTGTTAAAATATCAAGGGGTATGCGAGATTTGGGCATAACGTGACATTCTCGGTCGTTTTCCCAAAAATAATAATAATAATCATCATCATCATCATTATCATCTTAAAAGGGCATAACTATATTTTAATTATTTTTTCACCAACAATAATAATAATGATTATTATTATATTTTTTCACCAACAATCACTGATTCGGGAAGCTTTTTGTCTTTTTCTAAAAACATCGAGAGAGAATTAGTCATTAGGACATAATTCAGGGGACTTTTGTCTTTATCCCTTTAAGGAATGACATATGTTTCTGATAAATATTCTCGTAAATTTTTTGCTCTGTATATCACTACTTCTATTCAATTTCCAAACTCTGTCGTTTTCTCCCTCCCGGAGATCCTCTTTATTCTTTTTTATTGTTAACTTTGGTTTATGGTTAGAATGATATATATAATCAGGATTGGGGATTTATATTTGATTCAGCAAATTATTTATAGCCCAACTAATTCTAAGTGGCAATGGGTTGGGTACATATTAAGGATTGGGCTGACGGTCACGATCCAGGGACTTGAAGAGTAGATTGGAAAAATTAAAGGGTTCAAGTGCAATTTGGTAATAGACATGATCATGAATAATAATTGCACTAATGATTAGTTGCTATTTCTGTATTGTTTCCTATTTCGGCTGATGATTGGAATTAAATGCCAATTAATCACTTGTGTAATCATCACTGAGTATTAATCAGATTTCTTGACAGTTAATCCTTTCTTCTATTCCTTTTCGAAATTCCTTCTCAACTGCTCCTCCTTCTTTCTCGCTTCCTCTGAACTCTGATTATGGCCGCGCCCTTTCTATCTCTGGCGACCCTCAACTATTCCAGAATCTTTTATTTTCTCCGGAATCTGACACGTTGATATCAGAGCCGAGCAATCCTCGGCTTTGACAAGACGCTAAGATGACACAAACAAAATCCCAGCGTGAATTGGAGGATCTCCATTCAAAGAGCGATGATTTGAGAATTCAGGTGACTGAAATCAATTTGAGGTTGGCGGATTTCGACAAAAGAATGGAATCATAACTCGAAGCCATTTCAGAGTCGTTATTCGCGAAGATGGAGGCAAGATTCACCAGTAATCAACCAAGGGCAGAACCAGTCTATTCGTCAAATCCTAATGATAGAGTTCTTGGGCCATTACCGAAAGGGGTTGTTACTCAGACGGGCAATCAGCATCAAGAACGTGTACCAGAAGTAATTACTGTGGAGCAGACGCCGATTATGGGTAACGGGACGAAGGAGAAGACGGTGGTTAACAAAATTCCCCACTATGCACTTCAAAGAATTGAATTGCCGATCTTCACTGGACAAAAGTCACGCGAATGGATTCCAAAATGTGAGAAGTTTTTTTCTGATCCAGCAGATCTCCGAAGAACAGAAGGTTGATGCGGTTGAATTGTATCTTGATGAAGAAGCAGACACGTGGTTTCAAGCAGTTAAGATGATCAAACCTGAGATTTCTTAGATTGAATTCTGTAAAGAGTTATTGAAAAGGTTCGTGGACATTGGTGAGGTCAATCCTGTGGAGGAATTCAACAAACTCACACAGAAGGGAAGTGTTCGTGAATATCAAGTGAAGTTTGAAGCATTAAGATCAAGAATGCTAATGCAGGATCCTCGCTTGTCAGAAGACTATTTCATCCACAGTTTCCTCAGTGGATTTAAAGGAGGAATTACAACCAGAAGCCAGGATGCATGAGCCTTTGTCACTTACTGCTGCCTTTAAGATTGCTACTATGCAAGAAAAGCAACTGGAGGTCACCAACAGGAGGGTGAAACCTCAACCATTTCAGGTTAATAGACCTAATTCATCTTTCAGTAGATCTTTATAACATAATAAGTCTGCTGTTAGAACCAATAAGGCCATTAATCCTGATTTTGTCAAGAGGTTGACTAATGAGGAATACCAGTACAGAGCTAATAATCATCTATGTTTTAAGTGTGGTGAAAAGTTTGGTCCGAGTCATGTATGCAAGTATAGGCAATTTAACATAATGATTGTTAATAATGAAGAGGAAGAGTTAGAAAGTGTTGAAATTGATGCTCCTAAGTTACTTTTGGATGAAGGAATTGACTTAAATGATCTTACTATAGCGCAAGGGTCTATGCATGTCATTTCATTGGATAGTGTCAAGCAAACTATATTGTTGTTGGGTAAACTTGAGGGAAGAATCATTAAAATTCTGATTGACACTGGAAGTACTGACAGCTTTGTTGATTTACTGCTGGTAAGGAATTAAAGTTACCATATAAAGAAGTTAATCCATTTACTATAACTGTTGGAAATGGGAGTCAAGTTACTGGAAATTTGGTGTGTCCTAATCTGCATTAGAAGATCAAAGATTACAAGTTTAACTATGATTTGAAGATCATGAGGTTGGGAGGATATGATTTGGTGTTAGGAGTGGATTGGATGAAGCACTACAATCTTATCACCTTTGATTATGAGGATATGCATGTGAGGCTAAGTAACTTTGGCAGAATATACATTCTTCATGGCATTGTTAACCTGGATAGTATGAAACTGGTCATAGACAAGGATTGTCAAGTTCTAACTCAGGAAAGAAGATGCAAGTTGATGGCAATGCAATTACAGTCCTTCAATAGTGAAGAATTATCAGTGGTTGAATATCTTTTGCCAGAAGCAATTTGCAAGCTATTGGATAAATACTGTGAGGTTTTTGATAGTCCAAACTCATTACCACCAAGTAGAGCTGTGGATCATCAGATTGCGTTGAAACATGGTTCTCAACCATTCAAGATGTTACCTTATAGTTGTCCACATGCTTATAAAACTGAAATAGAGAAGCAGGTGGAAGAATTGATCAAACAAGGTATTGCTCAGCCTAGTAGAAGTCCATATGCTTCCCCAGTGATATTAGGGAAGAAGAAAGATGGCAGTTGGCGCATGTGTATGGATTACAGGAAGCTTAATGACATGACCATCAAAGACAAATTTCCTATTCCCATTATAGAGGAATTGTTGGATGAACTTCAAGGAGCTATTGTGTTTTCTAAACTGGATTTAAGGGCTAGATATCATCAGATCTTGGTAAAAAAAAAAAGAAGATGTACAGAAAACAGCTTTCCAAACACATCATGGCCACTATGAATTTTTAGTGATGCCATTTGAATTGACCAATTCTCCTACTACTTTTCAATCCCTGATGAATCAAGTGTTCAAAGCTCAACTATGGAAGTTTGTCCTTGTATTTTTTGATGATATCTTGATCTACAGTCAGAATCTGGTATCACATCTCAACCATTTGGAGGAAGTACTGAGTATCTTCAAGCAGCACCAGTTGTATGCAAAAAAAAGCAAATGCAGTTTTGCTCAAAGTTCAGTAGAATGCTTGGGACACATTATTTCTGACAGGGGAGTTAGCATGGATCTACAGAAGATAGCTAGTATTGTAAAGTGGCCAATTCCAGCAAATGTTAAATCTTTAAGAGGATTCCTTGGCCTTATAGGATACTACAGGAGGTTTACACAGGTTTATGGAATCATCTGCAAACCCCTTACCAACCTTTTGAGACATAATTCTTTCAGTTGGAATGAAGAAGCTCAAGGAGCATTTCAAAGGTTGAAGGAAGTAATGACTACAACTCCAGTTTTGAAAATGTCTAATTTCTCACAAACTTTCATTGTGGAAGCAGATACTAGTTATTTGGGTATGGGAGCAGTGCTTGTGCAGAGTGGACAACCTTTGGCATTTCTGAGCAAAGCATTCAGTCAATAGCGTAAGGATTTGTCAGTTTATGATAAGGAATTGATGGCTGTGGTTTTAGCAGTTACTAAGTGAAGGCACTACTGGTTGGGAAGAAGATTCATCATCAGGACTGATCATCAGTCTCTCAAATACTTGTTAGAGCAGAAAATCATTCATTCTAATCAACATAAGTGGCTCACCAAGCTTTTGGGTTATGATTATTAGATACAATACAGGAAAGGAAATGAAAATAAAGCTGTTGATGCTCTATCTAGGGTGGAACAGTGTGGTAACAGTGGGGATAAAAGTTGTTTTGCTATAACTACTGTGTACCCTCAGTGGATTAGTGAAGTGGTAATCCGCTATCAAGATGACAATGCAGTTCAGGAATTGATTGCAGGAATCACCATTCATCCCGCATCATTTACTGAATATCAGTATGTGAATGGTATACTAAGGAAGGATGGCAGAATATACATTGGCAATTGTATTTGAATTGAAGAGAACCATACTCAGAGCCTTACATTCTTTTCCATTGGGAGGACATTCTGGTCAAAATGTCACTATGCAAAGATTGAGGTCAATCTTTTACTGGCCAGGAATGAAGAAAGATGTAGAGAAGTTTGTAGCTGAGTGTACTAATTGTTAAAAAAAATAAGGGTGAACATGTGAAGTATCCAGGGTTGTTACATCCTAATCTAGTCCCTCAACATGCTTGGAAAAGCATATCAATGGACTTCATCGTTAAGCTACCTCTTTCTGAGAAGTTTGATACAATCCTGGTGGTGGTGGATAGGCTCACCGAATTTGGCCACTTCATTCCCTTAGAACTACCAGTAAATGCTCCCAAGGTGGCTGATGTTTCCCTTAAAGAAGTTTTCAGGCTCCATGGCTTGCCAAATGATATCATAACAGACAGAGATAGGGTGTTCACCAGTCATTTCTGGCAATCATTGCTGAAGGTGTTAGGAGTTCAGATCAAACTTAGCACTGCCTATCATCCACAAACTGATGGACAAATAGAGAGAGTGAATCAATGCCTTGAAAGCTATCTCAGGTGTTTTTGCTGTGACAAGCCTATCTCTTAGAGCATATGGATTTCCTTAGCAGAATGGTGGTACAATACTTCTTACCATTCAGCAATTAGGATGACTCCATTTGAGGCTTTATATGGAGAGAAGCCTCAGATATTTCCTCTTGGTCCATTCACTGATAGTGTAATCCCTGCTGCTAATCATGAAGTACAAATAAGAGCAGCCATCATCAAAGTGTTGCAGGAAAACATGACTAAGGCTCAGCAAATGATGAAGTACTTTACAGATCAACATCATTCTGAGAGGGAGCTTGCTGTTGATGATTGTGTTTACTTGAAGTTACAGCCTTACAAACAGTCTTCACAAGCCATCAGATCTTGCCTTAGATAGAATTCAAGATTTTATGGACCTTTCCAGGTGAAGGAGAAGATTGGTGAAGTTGCATATAAGCTCAGATTCCCTAATCATGTTCGCATACATCCAGTGTTTCATGTATCTCAACTGAAGAAACACAAGGGGAAAAAACCACGTACCATTTCTTCTCTTCCAGAACCAGAAGAAATTGAGGGAAATGCATTGTTTCCAGAATGTGTGTTGCAAAGAAGATTTATCATTAGAAATGGTCTACAGGTGAATCAGTTGCTGATCAAATGGAAGAATCTTGATGTGGAGGATTCATCTTGGGAGGACCAGACCTTCATTACCAACCAGTTTCCAGCATTTCAACCTTAAGGACAACGTTGTTCTTGTGGAGGGAGTATTGTCAGGATCCAGGGAGTTGAAGAGTAAATTTGAAAAATTAAAGGGTTCAAGTGCAATTTGTTAATAGACAGGATCAGGAATAATAATAGCACTAATGATTAGTTGCTATTTCTGTATTGTATCCTATTTCGGCTGATGATTGGTATTAAATGCCAATTAATCATTTGTGTAATCATCATTGAGTAATAATCAAATTTCTTGACAATTAATCCTTTCTTCTATTCCTTCTAGAATTTCCTTCTCAACTGCTCCTCCTTCTTTCTCGCCTCCTCTGAACTCTGATTTTGGCCGCCGCCCTTTCCATCTCCGGCGGCCCTCAACTATTCCAAAATCCTTTATTTTCTCGGGAATCTGACATTGACAATAAAAGAAAAGGTCCGTGGACTCTTAAAAATTAAATAATTGTTTTTCAAACTTTTATTTGAACTTTCCTCAAAAAAAGCCCACAATCACCACCTCACCGGTAAAAATTCCACTACATTTGTTGGGAACTGGCCGGAAACTTACCGGCTGATAGTGGTCCGTGGTGGCTCAAAAGTGGCAACCGTAGTTTGGGATGTGGACCGCCGTGTTGCAGCACCAACAAGGTGGTATTTATAAGCAGGTGGATAGGCAAGACAATACAAAATTTTGAATTTGAAATTTTCCGGTTTAACGTACTTAAAAATTTGTCAGTTTTTTGTTGGACGGTTAATACCCTTAATCAACACATGTGATGTGCACATGACTCTTTGTTGATCGGTCATTTTTTCCCGAAACCTTAACAGGCAATTGAAAAATAATAAGTCTTTTATTTGGTGGCAAAATATAATATTTTAATGTTATAATTTTGAGTGAACATAAGTGGTATCTTTTTTTGAACTTTTGGAATAGTTATTTTTTTACAAAATTTCAAGATTGTGTCTTGTTTATGAGAAATTTGACACTTGCCTATTGTTGGACAGCCAAAAATAGATGGTTTAAGTAAAGACAACCAAAGAAGAAGTAATTGAGAAATATTCATTTTTATCTTTCTTCATGTGAAATTTCTTTAAATAGTGTTGCAAAGTTTTTACATTTTATTAATTATTCAAATTAGACAATATGACGAAATTTCGTTGAAGTGGTGTTGCAGAGTTTTTACATTTTGTTAATAATTCAAATTAGACAATTAGTTACGGCAAAGAAAGTAGTACATCGGATTATTTATTTTATTTACTACAGCTTCATCAAACATAACTGAAAATCAAAAGACATTTCTACGTTCTAATTTACAAAATTACCCTTGAAATCACACCATTCCTGCCATTATAAATCCCGCCATTCCCTACACTTTTTAATTCACTTCTAAACATCTTTGTTCATTTGAAAAAATTGTAGTACTTCACTTTTTTCTTTCTCTCCAAGTTTTTTTTTTTAATAATTTTTTTAAACGGGCGGTAAGAATGGTGAGCTCCGTTCAGCTTTCTGCGAGTTTCCGATCATCGGAGGTGTGAAATTGTAGAAGAATCACCGGTTATTTTTCTAATAATGCAGGTAGGTATGCAAAACTTGAAAGAATTGGAGATTGCCGAGCTCGATTCTCTGCTTCAGGTAGATTACTCATCCATCTAGTAATCTCTCTGCTATTAATTCCGTTTAACGATGATATAGGTTCTGATTTGTAGTATTCGTCTTCTAAATTTCTGCAATGTTTTGGTTTAGGATGGTTTAAATCGAGGTTGTTCTGTTATATCGATGTAATATTCTTCTTCTTCGGTTTAAGTTGGTTTTTTTGATTTTCCGCCCAAAGTATTGTGTTCGTCTTCGTTCAAATAGATCATTGTTGTGTCAGTTAGGCGTAATTTCATTTCTTGCGTTTCGAATTGGAACAATATGCTTATTCCGAAGAAAATTCAAATTAGTTTAGGACTTCTAGCGCATAGACTGTTTTATATAGTTCATCACTTTGGATCTGAAGATGTCATGTACATTCAAACATATTCTCAAACATTTGATGTACTGTATGGTGAACTCGACCGGTGATTTTGTGGTATCCCTCGCTTGAAACTCTGCTTTTTACTCCTGGTGGACTTTATGTTACAAGCTGGTTATCAGTCAATAGATGCTGAGTGAATTGCTGCTAATCTCTCTGGAAATGAAATCCATGGTGTCTCCCTTATAGACTACTCAGTGTTTCTTATGTGACATTTATGGTTGATGCGACTTGAATTTAACTTATTTATGGACTTCTATAATGGCTTCATGAATTGATGATTTCTCCCTCTTAGATTACTCTCGCATTTCAGTTTAAAGTGGAAACAGGATTATGTTTATTGATTCAATTTTGTCTTTAGTTGATTTACTGGCTACTTGGATATGCTACGGTTCATTTTTAGTGATATACAGGTCCATTACTGTGTATAGATCTCATTGTCAAAATAATCTTCCATCCTCCACCTGATGCTCTTTTCCGTCGTTTTTTGTGGTTAATTTCTCAGACAAAAGATCTGTTGCGGATAGCCATATTCAACATAAGCTACATCAGAGGCCTTTTCCACGAGAAATACTTCAATGACAAATCAGTTCCGGTCTTGGGTAAATCTTCACTCGATATCCTTCAGTGCTTTGTCTAGTTTTGGGATTGATGATATCAGTTGTGCATTGTAATCAGACATGAAATGTTGCCATTGGATGCGGAGTCTCGTAAATTCATTGACTGGATGGAGAAAGGCATGGATATTCTCCTACTCATTTGATGTGCTGATTACTAAATACACTCTTTGCTCATTTTGTTGATTCATACACATTTCTGCCTTCTAGGTGTTTATGATGCGCTCCAGAAAAAATATCTCAGAACACTTCTGTTCTGTGTGTGTGAAGCAACTGAAGGGCTCGTGATTGAAGAAGAGTATGCATGTAAGATTTTTGAACTGGACTTTCTGGCTTATTATTTGTGGTTTTGTGAAGATTTTCTAGGATTGTATTATCTTACTTTCATGTAACAACAACCGCCCTAAATTAATTAAAGAATTCTAGAAGTTGATCTTGTTTTGTTCCTTCATTCTTGAGACTTTAAGGATGCTAATAGAAGATACCTATACTTTACAATAAGCAGATCATTGATTTTGCTCTCTGAACCCTCCACTATTCTCAAATTTGCACCCTGCAGTCTCTTTCAGTTACTCAGATTCAGATAGTCAAGAAGTTTCTGTGAACTTAAGTCATTCTGGAAGCGAGAAGGGTGGTAGAACCTTCAAGTTTGATTCCACAAATGACAGCATTTCAAACAATATGAGGTTTTTAAAATAAGTTACATTGATTCTTTTTTTTTTTTTTTTATGTTAAGTGGTATTCAAAATTAACATTTGGGAGTGGTTTAATTCAGGAGTTCTGCTTGTAAGATGGTCCGTACACTGGCTCAACTGATGAGGACTCTCGAGGATCTGCCTGAAGAGGTAAACATTTTTTTTTTTTTTTTTTTTTTGAAAAGACACTTTTCCAGTTTTCCTCATGTTTTTGTTCATACAATACTAAACTTGATGCATCTCACTTTCTGTTAGCGTACTCTTCTGATGAAACTCCTGTATTATGACATCACGGTATGTATGTACTCAACCACCAAGCTGATATTTAAACTGCAGTTGGTCTGTAGATTCTTGATAATTGATATAAGTGGTTAACTGAATAGAAGAGTCTCGACAAGCCTAGTGTATCTTAACGGTGTTCAGATAGTGAAATGTTTGCACGAATAAATTCACATCTTGTTTGTTGGGTAGATGACAGTACGATGGAACAATCTTTTCAATTTGTTATGGTTTAGTCGTATCATTTTGTTACATGTCCCTTATGGGTTGATTAATCTCCATAAGCTCATTGTCAAAATCTACCATGATAGCATCTGTCCAAACTTCATACAAGAGAAAAATTTGATTTTGCAGCCTGCTGATTATGAGCCTCCCTTCTTCCGAGGCTGCACAGAAGAGGAAGAAAAAAATGCTACTTGGAACAGGAGTGCTCTGAAGATGCAGGTTGGAAATGTCAACAGCAAGCAAATTCTTAAGGTGAGTGGATTGCAGAAATAAAAGGAATTAGGATCTTTTAAATGATTGAGTCAATATTGGCAGTAATTCACAACTATTTGCAGGTAAAGAGGGCATTTGTTCTATGTGAAGATGAAAACAATGAAAACCACGATAATACAAGCTCCTTTGAAGATAATTCGTACAAGAGAGATGGCAATAGTGATTCTGGCACTGATGTTCAACTGTATTCAAATTCAATACATATTGTATCAGTTTGTATGTATGTACTGATACTTGCATTCTCTTGACTTACTGCAGACAAGCATGTCAAATAATGATCATTACATTGTTGCACTTGCACCAGCTGGTAAATGCTCCGTTAGTTGGATTTTATTTGGCTGTTTGTGTACTTCTCTAGAAGTATATTAGCATATTTGTGATGGTTCCTTCTTCAGAAACGCAACAAGAACCTGAGAGCTACACAATGGTGAATGAAGGTATGCCTTTACTGGATTAAAGCAAGGGCCAGAACTTGTTATGATATCAGGATGTGATGCATTATTTGCTGTTTCTCCAGATGTAACCAGGATCCTGCAGGGGATGAAGAACAATTGAACCAAGTGAAGGACTGGATAGACTCTTACCCCCTTCAAACTTTTAATCTCAACGACATTCTCCCACATTTTCCAGATATCTCTATGGTAAGTTCTGTTCTTTGTCTGCAAATTTCTCCGTGATCTAAACATTTATCTCAATAGTTTAAGCTCACAATGATTCTCCATTGCAGGTCTTGATTGAAGGTAGCTTTTCACACAGGATGGCCGAACCATGTTGTTGTTAAGTTCTGATAAATTGATCTTTCTTTAAATTTGATCATAATAGAGATCATGGACAAGCTTGTTAAGGGAGGTGTGTTTTCAAAATCTGCTGCAGATAGTTACTCCATCAGCAAAGAAAAGGTTCAAGTTTTTGTCATTTACACGGCAGCATTTAAGTCTCCTAAAAAGCCATTGATCTTAATACGCTTGTTTTCCTTTCTGCAGAAATTTTATTATGAGTTCAATATTCTGAAAGAGGAACCTGATTCTCACACCAATGGAGAGTACAACAACAGTGAGGATTATGTGCACATACAGGTAAGTGAATGGAAAAATTTAAGCTGGAGGCATCAATCTTTTCTATTTTGCGAGTTCTTCCTCGATAGATCGAGCATCATCTGTTACATCTTTGTTTCAGGCATTGTATCATGCCCCTCCAATGCACTCTATCACTACTGCAAACCTTCAGGATAAGCTTGAAGCCGACATGACTACCTTTTGCAAGTTGATAGATAAAACGGCTCAAGATGGCGTTGTTGAGTCTAAATGTAACCGCAGACTAGGTACAGAAAATTCTTTAGTTTAGCATGTCTTTCAAGATTTAGTTACCAACACACATCATGCTGATAACCCATCATCCCTTCCAGTTCTTATCTCTGCTCCAGGGAGGCCTGTAACACAGTCAGAGAAGACTGAGAAGAAGGTGTCAGAAGTCAATAAATCCCAGTGTGTTTTTGATATGGTAAGACACCTCTACTCTACCATAGAAGAGCACTTCATGCCTCTTTGGAGTTTCCCTGTTAACTTTGCCTTTTCCTTTTTCCAGGATGTGGATATGGACCAGAATGATCTGAATAACTCTGGTAAAAAAAACAAGCATTCAGAAACTGAGGAAAATGGTCATTCCTTCCCCCTTAGAGCTGTGCAGCGTTTTGTAAGCTCCAGAGAAGAAACTAACAACGTGACTGTTTGGCAATTAGGTAACACTGATAAAGATTTGTCTACCTCGGGCGCCTTACATTTAGTTGGATCAGATCTCACACACACTATTCTCCAATCTGCTGGACATCCAAATGGCTCTAAAAGAAGTGATGACTCCAAAAGAAAAACACCCCTAGGCAGGGCTCAGGTTTGTCACTGTCCCCCCTGAAAATTAAATCGACACTCTGGGATCATAATTGTTTGATATCTGACCACATTAAGATTTCATTTGGTGTTTGTGCAGCCTGCTGATTCCAGGGAGCGTGAGCGTCATGCATCAGGAGCTGAAAATCAAAGAGATAGAGGAAATAATACATTGGATGGGAAGGCAAGCATGGTAATATTCTCTAGCTTGAGACACTGTTTTTCTTATCTTTCTCGAAGAATGTGACTTTAGTCCTGACTTGCACTTGTTCTCTCTGAAATGTTCCCACAGGTCAAAGAACCAATTTTTCAATACATGAAGCGCCAGGAAATCCAAGCTGTGTAAGACTTCTTTGATCCTTATAGTAGTGTGTGCAACTAGCAATACTAGAGAGACGCTTTGTTTTAAGACTGAATGACTGATGATAATTTCGTTGATTTTGATTATGACAAATTAATTCTGTCTCAGGAAAGGATACAATGAGTACGCAACAACATGTTTAGGATTCGTCTTTCGTCGGACTGATGGAAAAGAGGCGATGATAATGGCATGCGACTCCCGACGCACGAGGAAAGACACCCAAGGAAATGTAATCCGCAAGTGGGGTAAGCAAACGTATTCCTCCCTTTCAAAATGGTGTATAAATGTTTTAGAATTTCAAGTCAACATTAATTACTTATTTATATATTTAATAGTATTAACTATAATTTTTTAAACTATGCAGATAACATACAGAAATTTGTGAAGCTCAATGGTAGAACTCTTGTCATGAGGGCTGGAAAAGTTAGGTACATGAAGAGTATTATCAAACATCTCGTGGATGAGCAGGTAACTTTACACTGAAAATTGAATTCTGAATTAATGAATACAGGTTTATTGCTTTTCCAAAAAAAAATAAAAATAAACATTTAAATTCAATTTGTAATAAACTGCGATTACTTATTGTATAGTCGTTTTTCAAAATTATTGTTGTGTTTGGATTTTAACTGTTAGTACAATTCAAATTATAATTGCAAATCCAATAATCATTTTGGGAGGTAAAAAATATTATCTAATATTTTCAGTGATATGTTTTTTTTTTGCGGGGGTTAAAATTTTAGGGTAAAAGAGGATTATTGTCTTCTACCAATGCATCGTCCCTGGCGGAAAGGAAGTTGAGTTCTGAAGAGGATGACGACAGACGTCTAAGTGTGCTTATAGGCGGTTGGGGAGACTCTGGGGTAATAAGTTTTAATATTAGTTTTGTAATTTTATTCTAAATAGTAAGTTTTGTGCTTATCAACATTCTCTTTTTAATATGGATTTTTTACAACATTCATTAATTCTAAATTTTCCAGGCACCTGAACTGTATAAAATAAACTCAAGAGGGATTCGGATGTGTGGTGACTGCTTCGTTATAGGTAGCGGATGGGAAGGCGCTAGGAGCGTTCTGGACATCGAGTAAGTTTTTATTATTTTACTATATTACTAGAAGTAAAAACTTAAAATTAAGAAATTTAATTTAATTTTTGTAATCTCTTAGTATTAAAAAAAATTGTAGTACAAGATATTTTATAAAATCACTTTATCTATTCTAATTTTTTATTGTGAAAAACTTTTAGATTATTATTCGCTATTTTAAAAAATAACTTATTTGTTATAATCTTCTATAAGTCTATGACTAAAAGTTCTTATTACCTTAACACTATTCTTTTATTTTCCCCTTCCCTCACAAACCATTCCTTTTCCTCTTTTTTTTTCTTTTTTTTTTTTTTTGGTATCAAAAGAACAAAATTTATTCATGTCAATATCTCATCATCTAAATATGTATTCTACCAGAGAAAATCAATGAAATTAATAATGATTATCACATCTAAATAGAAAAATTTTGAGACTTGATTCGTTTTTAAACTCATGCTAATTTTGTTAACACATATTGTGTATTTTATATTGGTCCCAACTAAATAGATGAACATATTACATAATTAATTTTAAAAAATAAAACCACAGATCAATATCTTTTATATTGTAATATGAGCAAAGCTATATAGATGTATTATATACAACTATATATGGATGTATCACCGATCAACTAAATTTTTATTTATCGGATTGAAACTTACAATTACAAATCTATTATGTAGATTTTTTATGACTAATCTTCTTTAACCTTCCATATAAAGCTCAACAAGTACGTGCGAAACTAAAATATTACAACAATACAATGGGAAACATTATGACAAAACACACCAACTTTATTTTCAAAAAAAAAATAAAAAATTCTATGTTTACATTATATTGAGATCGTGTTTTTTTTATTTTTTTCTTACAAACATGGATAAGTATTCATATTTTACAATTAATAATATTGTTTAATGATATAAACATAGAACCTCCATTATGCCTTGCACGATGAGATAATGCTACTAATTAATAGTTATCAATACTAATTTGGTAGAGATTGTTGAAGTTCAATTTATTTTCCCTGCTCTCAGATACTCTCGTTCTCGTAAGATGACGGTTACCCAAGCTGCAGAGCTAGGCAGACACGCTATTTGTGAGGCTGCCCGTCGTCACCAGGGCACAGGAGGCATAGTTACCGGTAAGTTTGCAGTTTTGATTTATTTATCATTCAAATATGAATAGTTCTATGACAATTGTCTAATGGTTGTATTTATTCTCTTTTTTAGTACTCCCTCCATCCCATAATTATTGTCCAATTATACTAAAATGAAAGATTTTATTTTTGGTCAAACTTAACTATATTTTACCTTAAACAACCGGATATACCCCTACATAAGTAATTGTTTAACCACTAAGATTTTATGGATAATGTTTTTTACTAAGGACAAATATGTAACTTGATCCATAAAAAGTCAAATTGGACAATAATTTTGGGACAAAATTTTTTGGACAAAGTGGACAATAATTATGGGACGGAGGAAGTATATTATATAGGATCCAGGTCGCTGCGACAGGCTCGCCACAAGCAGAGTATTACTTATTTGTTGGCCAATGTGTATCCGGACACCTATTAGGAATGTATTCGGACACCTATTAGGAACTATATTTTGCTATGGATGAGGATTATCAAAAGATGAGGAAGAATGCACTGGACTATAGAAGAGGAAGTGTAATGAGTGATCAGTATGGTGAGGATTCTGAGAATCAAAGAATACATTGGTCATTGGTTCATAGACCACAAATCAATATTATGAAAACATAATGTTAAATTTAATAGAAACATTATTACTTACCAGCAACACTGTATTAGGATTTTTTTTTTTTTTTTTTTTTGGAGTTGAAACAAGTACAATTTATTTTTCACCACTCGGTAATTACCAAAATGGTATAACTTGAGATTTGTTTGGATTTCACCTCCACTGTAAACATTTAAAAAAAAATCAAAATTTTTATACTCCCTCCGTCCCATAATTATTGTCCACTTTGCCTAAAAAATTTTGTCCCAAAATTATTGTCCAATTTGACTTTTTATGGATCAAGTTACACATTTGTCCTTAGTAAAAAATATTATTCATAAAATCTTAGTGGTTAAACAATTACTTATGTAGGGGTATATCCGGTTGTTTAAGGTAAAATATAGTTAAGTTTGACTAAAAATAAAATATTTCATTTTAGTAAAACTGGACAATAATTATGGGACGGAGGGAGTATCACATTTTTCTTTATATCTCTAAAACAAAAACAAGCACTGAAGAAAAAAAGTTCCACATGGGACCTTGATGAGGTGTTGTGCGATAAATAATAACAAGCACCTAGGTATACTTTGCAAGGTGCACCTCATGGGTATGTGTAATACACTCTCTTTCTATACAAGCAGAGCTTTTAGTCCGAATTTTAATACACCACACACACATTAAATTCTCTAAATTTTATCCCTTTTTTTTAGCACATGTTTAATTTCAAACTTATATTTTTTTTATGTTTATCCTATTAGCTTTTATATTATTTTATTTCATAAGATTTTTTTTTGTTAAAATGATGGATTTAATTTTTTGTAAAACTAGATATGTGTACGAGTAAATTTATGAATGAGTCACAATATTTACAAAGATGAGTAACGATGCAAATCATGATGAATAATGATCACATCCTAGATTAATAACAATAATAAAATAAAGAATATATGTAGTTTTTGCAAGATGATTGATTGTATTTTAATAAATGAATAATATATCAATAGTGGATGAATAATGCAAACAGAATGAATAACTTTAATCAAGAAAACTAACAAAATTATATTTTACAATGAGATAATGTCAGCAACTAAGCTAACAAAATTCTAATTATGAAGTATACTATATCAAAATTGATCAGAAAAACTAGTCATTGTTTTTAACATATAAGGTCTTGAAAGATCCGCCGATACTCGATATGTTTATATTGATTGTTTGATTTCAGCAACTCTGCCAAATATTTAATTCGCGACCGATCGAGTTCATTTTGATGAGCATTTTTTTTTTACGTTGATCAAACCAAAACAACATTACAATATGTGAGATTTCACATTCAATCAAAACTCTGTTAATCATCAATAACAAAGGCTATTGAAGATGAATAATTATCTTTAAAATGATGAATAACCATTAAAACTATATAACATGTCAGGTTGATATGAAGAATAACATTATATACTAATGAATAACTATTTCAACAATGATGAATACCTTGACAAGTATGATGAATTATCGTGTTTTACTTATTAAAATCAGAAAATGTAGTGTATTAGGATCATAAACCTGTTAGGAGGAATACTTATACTTTTAATGATGAATAACTATATCTATATATATGCATAGGTCATTCGAACAATATACATGTTCTATTTATCTATTCATATGAATAACAATTAACAGAAAAAAAGAATAACAATCGCATAACACCATTATTATGATGAATAACCCTAGGGTAACTGCTGAATAATGAACATATCTGGAACCTTTCCAAAATCAACAACCAATTGATGAACAAATCTAACAAATTGGTGAACAACCATTTATAATCGAATGCAGAGACCTTAGATATAAATAACCTAACAAAAAAACTAAATATGAATAACCAGCTAATAACACAATTATTATGATAAATCTGTTAGTTTCAAGGATGAATATCGAATACGAACTAATGAATAATGTCCAGATTTATTAGTCTTTTCCAAAACCAACAACTAAACAATAAAGAAAACTTAAAAATTGATGAACAAAAATCTATAATCGAATACATATACCGTATATCTACATAACCCAATAAAAAAAAAACACATCAATTGTTGAAGAGATTAAAACCCAATTATAAACCTCTGGCGATTCACAAAATCTGAATTTTGTTCTTTTTTGCAAGAGATCTAAATCCAAAAACCTCTAGCAATTCATCGAACGGGTTGGAATTGGCAATACGAAATTACCAATCAAAGATTTTGAAGATTTCAAACAAAACTCACCGGACAAAATACAAAACAGATGAATGATCTCAAATCTTATTGTAATTCTCATATTCAGCAGCATATATTGCAACCAAACTCACGAGATTTGATGCACAATCGGATTTCGTTTTTAAAAATACCGCCGACGAGAAATTTCGACGCTAAATTCTTGCAGAGAATATTTTATTTTTTAGATTTTTTTAGTTTGAGACGTCTTTGGATTTCGATGCCTGTAGAATATTTTGTTTTTTAGATTTTTTTTAGTTTGAGACGTGTTTAGACTGAAATAAGAAGTTGGATAGACATGATTAATGATGACTGAAAATTAAAAAAAATTATTAGAAAATTAAAAATGTGAAAAATCTTTTTTTTTTTACCCTCTTGTTTGGCGTGTGAATTTCTACGTAGGAGCTCTATATCTGGTGCTGAGCGATGTGATCAACTATTCCAAACCTCCAATGTCCAAAAACTTCGAGTTACCATACTAACCGTTTAGTTTGTCCATTGCACACAGAAGATAAGAAAGTAATATTCAAATATAAAAATGATCAAACAACTTATCATCACAACTGATTAAAAACTTCCATCAACATCACCCGTTTGACTCTATTTACATGGTACCGACATTAAAAAAGAAAAAACTATTACATTAATTTCTCCAAAACTAAAATTAAACACTTCCAGGTGGTTTTGGATCATGGTGGTTGTTTGGGCCCGTTCCTGAATAATCATTTCTTTCGAAATCCATTCTTCCTTCAATGAAGGATGATCCTTCTTCTTCTTCTGATAAGAGTCTTTTCATTAACCCCTGTTTTATCAACAACCACCAACAAAAAAATTTATAATTACAAGAAATAAATACTTCCACCACACAACAAGAAAACAATCAGCGGTTCACAAAACCGACAAAACAACAGCTAATCCATCAATAAAATCATATGGGCTCACGTGATATTGCCTAAAACTGAATCAGATTCATCACAGAAACAGAGGGCAGATGGCAAAAAAACATAAACTTTATGAGAAACAAAGATAATTATAGACAAGTAGAAGGACCTGTGTATCCAAATCTTGAGAAACCGGAAGACTATCTTCTTCCTGGAAGCTGATTTCCTTAAGGTTTCCTGCTAATTAACCACAGCCAGACAACAAAATAAATGTTAATTTGTCGGTACAGAAAGTAAAAGAAAAACAAAAACAGAGGAAGCAGATTGAGCAGGGAAATGAAGTTAATTACTTGAGAAAACAAGGGAAAACAACAAAAACAAGATGATTAGCCGAATTGAAGCCTTCTTTTCCATGTTGCAGTGGAGAAAACCAGATGGGTTGTTGAGAATTGAGGAAAGGGAGAAGGGAAAAAGAAGACAGAGGTTGGGAATTGAGTTTATTGGGAAAGGTGGAAGAAAGTATGGAGGGAGAGGGTTATTTTTATAGTTGACAAAATTGGTCTTTTCGTTTTATCTTTTTGTGAGGGGGTCAATGAAACTTTGTACTATAATAGTATAATTTGGTTCATTAAAAAATAGGAACTGGTAAAGATATAGATAGAGATAGAGGTGAATAGTGCTTTAAAAAAGTCTACAATATTATATCACATGAGTCAATTTCCAGATGAGTCAACACCTAGTAGTGTTTTACTTAATAAATTATTATAAGGATTTTGTAATTTTCATTATGGTTCCATGAATCCATATAGTTCGAACTTTTCCAGACAATCCCTATTAACCAGAAAAAAAAAAGTGGTTAGTGGTAATGGGAATAATTGGATTAGCCAATTGAATGGAATTTGATACGTACTTGATTATGGAGGTGTTATGATGAGCACGAATTTTTCTTTTCACAGATTTTGGAGTTTCATTTTTGGATTTTGGCGATCATCTTGGTGGAAAAGATCTTTTATTAAAATGAAAAAAGGATTGTCTTAAAGTTGAAAGATCCGTTTTTGCCTTTTGGGTTTGTTTGAAATGTTGTTTTTTTTTTTTTTTTTGAAAATCTTGTTTGAAATGTTGTTTAAGTGTTTGTCTTTCATGACTTTGTAAAATAGCCGGGCGTAATAAGATGTAAATGTGTTTAATAAGATAAAAAACACCGTTATAAAAAGTGAAGAATAAAACACAAATAAAAAATACGACGAACTTTGAGGTCTTTTAGCTACATATTCTAATATTTCAAAATTATTATTAATTTAAATTTTCACTTTAAATTTAATTTTCATTAAAAATATAAAAATTAAAATTAAATAATATATAATTTCGAGACAAATGAAATACACTATAAGCAGTAACAGTTGA